GAGAGAGAGAGAGAGAGAGAGAGAGAGAGAGAGAGAGAGAGAGAGAGAGAGAGAGAGAGAGAGTTGCTGTCTCTCAGGAACGGCCAATGATATCTGTGGCCGAGGAACTATAATTAGACTCCTGCGACAGTGTTTTGCATCCCGGAGTTAGCAAGTGGTCGTCGTACGTAATCGATCGGGACTTGCATCAGCCCGAAGCATAGCACCGTCGATCGGCAGTTCGCACGAGTAGACGGTCACTTGCTCGGGTTGTTGCACGTGCCCATCGATTAGCCTCTCTCCATATCTCCTCCTCCCAACTGCCATCTATCGCGTTACATCGCAGCGCCATCCCTCTAGCTGGCTGCCCGCTGCAGACAAAGTCTTGCGCTTCGTCTGGTGTGAACTTCAGCCGAGAACGAGAGTACGAATCGGCAGAGCGCGAAGCTAGCCAGCAAAAGTGTGTGTGTGTGTGTGTGTGTGTGTGAGTGTGTGTGTGTGAGTGTGTGTGAGAGAGAGAGAGAGAGGGAGAGAGAAGCTTGGGTTTGTGTGTGGTTCGGTGATCAGAAGAGTGACACTGTTCACGCTTTTACTCTCCGATCGCGAGCTGCGAGCTATCGTCGGTTGGCAATTGCTTGAGAGGAGGGGTGAGTGAGTGTCTGATTCTTCTACGTCGGAGGGCTCACCCCGCAAGCGAGAATGCCTCCTCTGGGTGCTTTGTCGGGCGGGTCCAGCGACTCGGTTGCATGCAGCGCTTACACCTCCTCCTCCCCTTCGCCCATGACGGCGGGCTTTCTGGCGCACGGGTTGGAGAAAGACCTGTACTGGCCGGAGCAGCGCCTTCGGGTCTGCGTCACTGGTGCTGGCGGGTTCATTGCCTCGCACCTGGCTCGGCGGCTTAAGTGTGAGGGTCATTATGTGGTGGCAGCGGACTGGAAGCGCAACGAGCACATGACGGAGGAGATGTTCTGCGACGAATTCCGCCTCGTCGATCTCCGGGTGATGGACAACTGCATGGACCTGACACGTGGGATCGATCACGTGTTCAATCTCGCAGCAGATATGGGCGGCATGGGCTTCATTCAGTCCAACCATTCTGTCATCCTCTACAACAACACGATGATCAGCTTCAACATGCTGGAGGCGGCCAGGATCAACGGCGTCAAGAGGTTCTTCTACGCATCCAGCGCCTGCATCTATCCCGAATTCCGCCAGTTGCAGACCGACGACGTCTCGCTGCGTGAGGAGGACGCATGGCCTGCTGCGCCTCAAGACGCCTACGGACTGGAGAAGCTGGTGACTGAGGAGTTGTGCCAGCACTACACCAAAGACTTCGGCATGGAGTGTCGGATTGCCAGATTCCACAACATCTTCGGCCCGTACGGGACTTGGAAGGGCGGGCGGGAGAAGGCCCCGGCTGCCTTCTGCCGCAAGGTGATCTGCAGCGGGGGCAAGTTCCAGATGTGGGGTGATGGCAAGCAGACTCGCTCCTTTACCTTCATCGACGAGTGTGTGGAGGGCATTCTCCGTCTCACCAAGTCCAACTGCCGCGAGCCTCTCAATCTCGGGAGCGATGAGATGGTCAGCATGAACGACATGGCCAAGATGATCATGTCCTTTGAGGACAAGAATCTGCAAATTGTGCACATCCCGGGCCCTGAGGGTGTGCGGGGAAGAAATTCCAACAACGACCGCATCAAGGAGGAGCTCGGCTGGGCACCCAGCATGCGGCTCGTCGATGGGCTCAGGATCACGTATGCATGGATCAAGTCACAAGTAGAGGAGGAGGCAAGGAAGGGAGTAGACGTAGCCGCCGAGTTTGCGTCGTCCAAGGTGGTCGGGACCCAGGCGCCCGTGCAACTGGGATCGCTGCTCCAGAAAGATGACGACAACAACAAGTCCTCCAGCTCCGCGTTCATGGAGAAGAAGAAGGCGGTAGCTGTTGTCGTCAACGGTGATGCCAGCCCGGCTGCCATGGCTGCTCCAACCTCGTAGTCGCTTGCTGGTGTCGTGCGGAGGAGCCCTTTTTTTTTTTTTTCATTCAACATNTGGGACCAGACCCCCGAGGGGCCATGCTAATCTTCTCTGTATCGTTCCAATTTTAACGGATGTCCCGAAGGACGAATCTTCCACTTTTTGCATTTTCATTTTTTGCATGTCGCTTTGCATGATGTATTGCACCTGGCTGTGGGCATGGCCTCCATGCACGCACTCAGCTACTTTGTTCGATTGAAGTTGGGGGTTCTACTAGCTTGATTGGACCCTGTTTCGTGCGGAAGAGCGTGGGCACCTCAGCGCCACTGTTCAAATCGCTGCACAACCTTCTTTATTATTATTATTTTGTTCGAGGGGATGAGCCACCTTCAAAAAAAAAAAAAAAAACTTGCGGGCCCCAAGAGATTCAAAAAAACCCGCCGCACGGTGGAGGATCACACGTGAAGGCCCATGATCTCAACGGAGGGCTGCTTATCATCAACAGTTTATGGGTGTACCGTTGAGCCACATGGGCTGGGTCCCACCACAAGCATGCATCCTTGCCTGGTGGGCAAACATGGATGACGCTCGCACCTCGGCAAGCACTCTTTTTTTTTTTTTTTTTTTTTTTTAACCCGGGGGGAGGCTCCATCTATTGGTGGGGAGCATCACCCGAAAGAACAAAAGGAAAAGAAAAGAAGCGGCAGCGAGAGAAACGGGGTCCGCTGTAAAGGCATAGGAGTAGTGGTAGGTACATAGTGAAAGGTGAAAGTGAGAGATGAAAAAGGAAAGAGGAGGGGGGGGGGGCGGAAGGCATGCAGGTGGAGGGGCAACGGACAGCGCGCATGCCGCACCACGGGAGACGTAGGCACCAGTTCGTGGTTCGCGGGGATCGTTGGGGCTGCTGCGTTTCCACGCAAACACAACGCACCCTCATCCTGACTGCAGCGTGTCGGACACACAGCAATTATCCATTCATTGGGCCTCGCTGCACTACTCTTATTTTTTTTTTAATGTCGCTGCACTGCTCTCGACATGCAGATAGACAAAAGTCAGGGCGCTGTATTTTTCCACATTCTAGCGGAAGATTCACTCTCGTTTTGCACATTTCGAGTGTAGTGCAGCGAGGCGCATTATCAGGCTGCGTGGTATTCGGGTGAAGACGGCCACCATCTTCACTTCACCCGGGGCCAAGTCCCACTACCGACTTCCCCCGGACACAACGCACCCTGAAAATGAACGTATACAAGGTATGTTTCCGGCCCGATACAGGCAAAATAGGGGTGCGTTATGTTCGCGGGAAGACGGAAGCAGGGTTGAGCTACCTCAACGCCTGAATCTGGACGTGAAACTCGACACTATTTCTACACATCTCCGCAAAAGCGTCCAAATTCAGGCGTTGAGGTAGCTCAACGCTGCTAGTGGGACTTGGCCCCCGAATAGAACGCTCTACTCGGTGGAATATTCAGTATGGACTCAGCAATAATGATCGGGCGCTCGATTCTGGTGAATTTGGGCTTTTAGTAGAAATGATCGGCGAGGGCTGCAGGCTGAAGGAGGACAGGATGCGCCCACGGTCGCTGCATGCAAGAAATGTGGACGTAATCCCGGTCATAGGGAGCGTGGTTGCTGCTAAAGCTGGTAGGAATAGATAGGAAGGAGTTCTCCACGGTTGTTGCATGCAAAGAATCTGGACGGCAATCCCGGTCATAGGGAGCCAAATAGGAAGGAGTTCTCCACGGTTGTTGCATGCAAAGAATCTGGACGGCGATCCCGGTCATAGGGAGCCATTCAGGAGGCTGCTTCTTGAAGTCGGTGGGAATAAGAAAGAATTCTCCCATCGTTGTTGCATGCAAGGAATCTGGACGGGTATCCTGGCCAGGGGGAGCCACACAGCCGGCCGCTTCGCATTCGTAGCGAGCGTATGCCTTACTAGTTGTGACTAAGGGCCAGATCCCACTGGCAAAGAGGATTGGAATGAGTATCTGAATCTGGACGTGTTTGTGGCGAGGTGCAGTGCAGAAAACTGTGACTGATCTGCTTTTCTGCAGCTCTGCGTGGAACACGTCCAGATTCAGCCACTTATTCCAATCGTCCTTGCCAGTGGGATCTGGCCCTAATTCATCCAGGGGCGCGGTGGGACTAGCACGGAGGATTGGATTGAATACCCGAATCTGGAGGTCTTTGTGGCGAGATGCAAAAAATCGGGACTGAACTGCTTCCGTGCACCTCTGCATAAAACACATCCAGATTCCGGGTCTTAACCCAATCCTCCATGCTGGAATGACCTCGGCCCAGAGAGTGCTGCTAAAGTCGTGATTGAGAGAAGAATATAGCTTATTAGGTTTAAACCCAAAGACTATACATTATTCCGCGAGTGATGAGTTAACCCGGCCGGCATACCCATGTGCCGGAAAAATCCGTGTGACTGCC